AATGTCAGAGACGGATTGAGTGTGAAAGGTAGCTGGAGGCTCTGTGGCCATGCAGGCCGAGTGCGGCAGAGCACAGCTTGCGAATGAAGCAGAAAACCGGGGCTGATTCGTGCTCCCCTATTGCTTCAGGCGTAAAAGACCTTTATATTGCATTGGCCATACAGAGAGCACCAATCTGTTGTTCAGGGGGATTTCTTCTTTAAATGAATCCCAGATTAGGAAAACAGTGGCTAAGCTTATGCATAGAGTTCCATCTGGATTGGACATGCTCTTGCATTGTCATCAGCTTTCCCTCGAAGGATACACTTTTTAAACAATTTCCTGTAGAATGAGTATCTTACCTATTGGTGGTGGTGGAGGGGAGACCCCATTACCCGTAAAGCGCTTTGAGTGGAGTGTCCAGAAAAGCGCTATATAAGTGTAAGCAATTATTAATTATAATTAATTACCTAAAATATTAAGAATGAACTCTTATAAATTTCCAGTGACAGAAGTTATTTTGATAGAATATTTAAAACGGATGCAGATTGCAAAAACTAAAACTAGTTTCCCTTAAACTAGTGCCGTAGACACTTGACTGGATCAGATACCTTTCAAGTCATTCTAGCGCAGTGTTACCAGTCACAGGGGTGACTTGTTAGTTCCTGTGTGTGATCACTCCTCCATGTGTTATTGGACAACAGTAATATCAACCGTTTTCCATTCTAACTTCAAAGTGCGTGCACCACTTTAGTGAATGAAGGCCACGTCATATCAGACGGATGTACTTTTTGTAAGGCCAAATGTGTGGCGAGCAGTAACAGACTCGCCAACACAGATGCCAGTGTTGCAATCAGTGTGTTTTAAATCGTCTCTCCAGACCCTAGTTTCATAATAAGGTGGACTGCATTTCACTTCTCATCTCAGCCAATGAATGTTTCACGTCATCAATCCATCAGATCTCGGAGACATTTACCTCACATAGAAGTCCTATGGTTTACTTACTGTGTACAGTATGTAGCTGTATTATAATGTCATTATAATACACATACATACTGTATCATTATCCTTGTCACATGCTAATGGCAGTATTCCTGAAACAATAGGAAGACTCGTTTTCTGTGATTGCAGAATGGTGTGGCAAGAGCCCATTTTGCAGTTTGATTGAGAGAAACGCATTGGTTAGCAATTTTCTGTGCTTTCATTTTCTAAAATATTTATGTGTCCTCTTACCTCCAGGGGTAATCTACCCCCGATTCAGGCATTCAAAATCAAAGGCAAAATTACCCTTGCGGAGTCTGCAGTGAAACAGAAAAGGAATGACTCAAGCGGAAATTGTGGGAACATGGTTTCAAAATTGAAAAAAGGACACAGTGTTTTACGCTGAGGGTTGTTGGAGTCTGGAACAAGCTAGCCAGCTATATTGTTGATAACCCTGACTTCTTTCAAGAAGAAGACCAAAAGGTTATTAGCTTCCAAAATATAAAATACATAACATTTAAAAGATTTCTTATGTTGGTGTATATATTCCTTCCCATTCCACTTCCTTAAGGATTCCTTAGAAGGATCTGCAAAATGCAGGAAAGTCTTGTCTGCCTCGCAAAAGCTGTGAGGGATGAGGGCAGAGGACGTGCACAGTCAGGTTTAAAGGATTATCTGACAGGATGCGATAAAGAAATGGCCACAAAGAGAACATGAGCTCTCTGTACTGGGCTAGGCTTAGTGACACATTGAGCTACTTACTCCAAGCATACCACAAAGAAGCTCTTATCAGATTGGTCCTGTGTATGTGCACTGAAGTCAGGTGCAGTGCCGAGGTGGTTATTTTGTACTGTTCAAGGGCAAATCGCAAACGGTAATGAACAAAACATCAACAGACCCCAATCCTTGTTATGTGTTGGCTTGACCAAATGAATAAGTGAGATTTTTGGTTGCTGTTGAGCCTGTCTCTTGTCCTTTCAGTAAATGGGGGCATACAGAACACAAGGTAGATTACATGAAAGATATTTTATTTAAAATTATCTACAACATGACTGTAAATTGGATGGCGCTGTAGTGCGTCAGTTAGCGTTACTGCCCCACTGCTGTTGAGTCATGGTTTCTATTCCCATTTGGGCTGCCTTCTGTGTGGAGTTTGCATGCTATGCTTTCCTCCCATGGTCTAGCGCACAAGCTGTCTAGGATGATTGGCGACTCTTAGTTGTTCCCTTATGAGTGAGTGAGCGAGTGAGTGAGTGTGTGACCTGCCATGGACTGGTGGCCTGTCCAAGGTTTAGGTTTATAGACCACTATATTGCCTGCCCACTTCGGCTATCGGGATGGATGGATGTCTGAATTATATTTTATATGCTATTGAGGAAGCACTGACAGCTCAACAGTGTCAGTTCTCATAATAGGACACTTTTACAGAGGCATGTAGGGTCAATATGTATAAAAACAAACCGTCTGTTTTTGACCTCACTCAATAAGCCTGTGTAAAATGAACTAACCTGAGGTTGTGTTATGAGATAATTGAGGTCAGTGGTCAAAATGACCTCATTTCACTCATTTTGTAACTCATTTTGTAACCTTTAAATTCAATACTTCGTGTATCACAGGTAGGTTTAACTTTGAGCACCTCTGTCTCCTGTAGTAATTTTCAAAAGTAATTAGTCAACAGTTGTTTGATTTCATATGGCATGACCTCTATCAACATCTTGGTGTTTCCATTGGAAAATTCATTTTCCCTTTGCACATGTATATTAACACCTGCAGGTTAAGACAAAAGTCTTTGCGCTCTTCAGTCGAGTTCATCTTCACTACTTTTTGGTTAATAAATTCTTATTACACTGTACATATTGATATGGACTATGCTCAAAAGCCTCTCATTAGATTAAAGAAAAACTAGATAACTTCCTAATTAAAAAAAAAGAAGCTTTTTAAACTCTTGTGCTTAATTAGCATCCTAGACATTGTTACGATTTAATTTTTTTCCCTGTATGTAAGAAGTTATAGTTGAACTGGAAACATTTTCTGACTAGAGTGCCAGGGCCAGGCTTACAGCTGGGCCACTGTCCACAGCGCTGTGGGTGTCAAAAGAAAATTCCACATCAGAAAAACCCTTCTGATGAAAAGAGTTCAGGTGTATGTGTGTCTGCAAGCAAGATGTTTCACAAGTAACATTAAGAATTCATCTCTGTTGATGAGGTTTTATGTGTTAAGTGGAAACGTTTGTTAAAAGGAATTGAAATATTTCAGACAATTGGAGCGGAAACATTCTGTTTTGTAGCTACAGCATGCTGAAGCTCATATTTTTGTGCTCAAATAGTGTGATGCAAGGTTAACGTATTTCAGATCCTCAATAGAGGACACTTCCCACTACTCTAGCTCGTGTCCGATGTTGGGAAGGCCCCAAAGCAGTTTAGCCCAAGTGCCTGTTACCCTAAGGATGCCCCCATGTGGCCCCACTGGCCCTGTGTTTTTATTGAAACCCACAAACCTGGCGAGTGGAAGTCGGGTGCCAGGTGAATTAATCGGCCTTCAGAGGACAATACCAGGGCTCACAGGCCATTGGGGTCACCTCTTGTTAGAAACAGTTCAGTTTTTTTCTGGAGAGTGCTTTGAGTCTCCAGCTCTGCACCCTTTCACAGCACACTGCTAGAGCAGGGTGAGGGTGCCATAGGGGGTTTCCCTGCAGTCTTTCAGGAGGGCATGTTTGAGTCACCAGCACCTGTGCATTGTCTCTCATTCTTGCAACTAGTATTAATAGCTGCTTTCTTACAAATAGAAACCCAGCCTTGAGGATTAATGCGGTGTTGTCAACTGCTGTTGCCGAGCAGTGTGGCACATGACTGGCCCACATCACAGCTTTAATGCTTTCTCACACATTGTGCAAGGAGGCGGCATTATGAACAGGAAATTAAATCTTAGTGTTAGTGTTATTTTCTTTTTTTTGGTACCTTTTAATTTAGGATATTATTTAAGCATGAGCAGAATTCCACTGATTAAACAAAATGCTCTGCTTAAGACCTCATGAAACGGTATACTTCTGTTAATATTCGCTGTTGAAACAGCGTCACTTATTAATCTAAGATCTAAATTAAAACCACAACCATTCAGTTGCTTGCATTCTGCAGTGCTTTCCTGCTTAGAGTGTTCTCTTCCTTTGTCGTTTCAAAATGAGACCTTGTCTTCCTGAAAGGGTGCTTTCTTAAGCATGCCATTGTCTCAGGCTTGTCCTATTTACTGGTATGCCCGCTTCTGCTCAGTGCTTAAGGCTTGACCCGACCTTTTACACACTGTGTGATGGAATGGACTGCTGTGTTATTTATAGTTAGTGCTTTCAGATAAGCCTCCAATACCACTTGAAAAACAAGCTCCTTCCTGAGCAGCTGCCAGCCAGCCCTGCGCGTTCTCTTCACTGATCGCCAGGGCACATGCCAGTGTTTACTGTAGCCACAACAGAAGAAATTCTTAATGGCAAGACCAGCCCAGTCATCTAGTACATCCGAACCCGGCTATTCCATCACGGCGTCGAGATGAATTTCCTTCACAGCGTGGCCATGTACCGAGAGTCCTCTATTCACACCTGCTTCCACAGTTAATCCATCCATCCATCCATTTCCTAATGGCTTCATCGAATCCAGGGGTGTGGGGGAGCCAAAACCTGTCCCAGCAAGCAACGGGCTTGAAACACCCAGAAAATGATACGAGTCCATCACAGACATGAACACACTCACTTCAGGGCCAGTTAACCTACCGGTATGTGAGAGGAAACATGAGGAGAACATAGAATCTGAGTTAACAGAAGGTCCATAATTGAACCCGGAGCCCCAGCGCTCTGCGGCAGCAATGCTAGCCACTGCACTACCAAGCTGTCCTCCTAAGTTAATAATATTATAACATGGAGTTGACTTTATTTTTCTGATGGAGAAATCAGAACTAAAAGCTATATACGAGCTGTGATCTAGGTGTTGTTGAACAGTGCTCTCTCTGCTCTGCTGTTCTCTTTGCAAAGCGGTGTTTGTAATTAAATGCGCTAAACATGACCCTGTAAAGCGAAAGGAAAGGTAACTGTATTTTTTAGGTTTTTCCCCAATTCTCAGAATTATCTCACCCCCCCTTGTGTTCACGTTCTTAATACTGATATAGCCTTTATAATTCAACGTTTTTTCTGACTCTAAATTTTGTCAGCTGTTTCCTGGTACATGTGCACATTTACAGCTGAATGGTAATTTAACTTTTTAATTTTTAATTTGGTCATTGTCTCCCAGGTTAGGTGGAGAGCTCTCAGTAATACAGAATGTCTTGTCCTCCATTTTGTCTCGGTGTCGATAGAGATTTTGCCAAAGTGGGGGGGGAATCAAAGCTTTGCCTTAAGGTGTGTATGATTTTCAAGTGGACTATAAAATGCAGCACAGGATGATGCAGATGCTGTTTTTTCCCGTGTGCAGGAGTCTTGAAAAGAAATGATTTTTTTTCGCCTCTTCCTCGTCTCCGTTTAGATGTGCACCCCACGCAACACGCCGGCCACCCCGCCCAACTTCCCGGACGCCATCACGATGTTCTCCAAGCTGCGGGCCTCGGACAGCATGCACGGCAACAGCAGCCCTGTCCCGGGCTCCATGGCCTGCTCGCCCCCCGCTGGCTTTGGCTCCTTCTGGGCCTCCTCGCCTCCCAGCCACCAGCCCGGCTGGCTGCCGCCTTCCTCCCCCACCAGCCACCACCTGCACCACCACCTTCACCACCAGACGCCCATGTGGCCGCCCGTATCCCAGCCCAGCAGTGCCCAGCAGACACCAGTGGTGCCCGCCCTGCACGGGCAGAGATGAGACTCTTGGGAGGGTGGACACATCTGGGAGGGGAGTGGTACCTTTCTCGTTCTTTACTTTTTCCTTTTTTTTAATAATAATGACAGAACTGTTGTCTTTTGAAGACCTTTTTTTTTTCTCGTGTGTGTGCATATTGATGTACGGCAAAGTACCCAAGCCAGGGGAGAGAACCACTAACAAAAAAGAGATGATAGGAAGTAGACATGTAATTCTTCTCCTCGAAAGGTTTGGGGGCTGGAATTAGAGAAGACAGAGACAAAGCACTGGAATGTTTTCATCTCTTCCGAAGACACAAAATGGCACTCAAGTGCTTGGATGGGGACTGTTTTCTCTCCCCATTGGTCATCAGTTTCTTTTTCTTTCCGTTGCAAAAAGTCTTCAGGATTTCACACCAAGCTTCGCCAGGATAACATCCGTCTTTTCAGCCACGACCAGCATCCAGGAAAACAGGCGGAAAGCTCCTTTTTGTTGTATTAATCTTCCTTCTTCTCTCTCCACCCCTCTGGAAAGATGAGGACAAGTCTTAATTGCTTCCCTTGAAGTTGTTGCAGCAGCCCCTGTAAGTAGCTGGAAAACGACAAGGTAGGATGCCAGTTCTTTTCCCCGAGTGCCCACACAAGCTCTATACCTACAGGTGTGTAACGCGCACTGCCCCTGTCTGAAAAATGAGTCTCAATCATAATGGGGGTCTTCGGGACCCTTGTTCTGTCAGTGTCATCCATCTGAACATCAGGATCTACACGCAGTAAAGAAGTTTTGGACCACTGTTGTGTTCGTCAGGTCATTGTGCTGGAAGCAATAAGAATATGAAGCCACTATTAAGGTTCCATTGTTGAACGAATCAGTGGACATTCTGACATCCCCATACCCCATGAAAATCTGCTTTATTAAAGCTTATGACTAAAAGGATTCTACAAACCATGTTCCTTCTGTATAGAAAATTACAGTTTGAATGATAAAATGACATGAACTCAATGGACACAGGAACACCTTTTAAACTGCATCAAGGATCGGCAGCTGTAATTAACACATTGGTTGTTCTGCACCAGCATCCATATGATTCAGAACTTGCGTCTTTTTAGTTACCAGTGGAGTTTCCTGTGGTGTTGTGGCTGGTTGTGGTAATTACCCCAGCAGGCTGCATGCCGGAAAGGATCATTCATGTACATTTAAGTTTTTTAAATGGATAAATCTTGAAACAGTTGAAACTAATGGTTGCAATCTGTGTGGTGGTTTGACACTGTGCAACCCTGGGTAACGAATTAAGTGATCAAATAGAAGAGTCAAGTCACTGTGCTCGAATGGAAAATGCCCGTTTCTAAACCTAGTTTGCAAATGTTTTGACGAAGGGGGGTTGATGTCTGTTTAGGGAATCTCTATGGATTTCTGGTTTTCAATAATACAAACCTTTGTTTCTTACCAGAATCAGCACAATATCCTGCACTGCATCTACCTCTGATTGGTGGTAAATACGCACTGAAAATGGTTTGTTTTCTTATCTTAACTGCTGTGATGCTGAAAGACACTAAAGCCAGGTACATTTCACTGGTCTGAAGAGTGTGAAGACAGGTTCAAGAGACAGCTTACACTGTTTCAGGGACCTGAGCATTACAGGCCTCCAGCAACACTCCCAAGCCATACAGACTCTTTATAACCAGTTATATTTGCCTGGAGGGCTGCATAGCATGAAATAGAGTGATGGGGAAAAGATTTAGATTTGAAAGATGACATAAAGCTTCCCAATATGTCAAAATATTTGCAAATCTGTGGTTGATCTCCTTTGACATGAGACTGTCAAGCGTACAAATCTGTAGGAAAGATGCAATGAAAGTGGGTGTTGAGCACTGGTGTGACATCACTTCCCTTTAAAACATTTCTGTCGATATCATTGAAGCGGAGGAAAACATTTGATTGCAGCACTTTGATCCACTTCAGGTTTAAATGTTGAGTCTTTGATACTTGAATACAAAGTGCTGGTTGTTTCCAGCTTCTTACTGTATTTTGGGTAAATTTGCAGGAACAGATGTATGAAGTTCCTCTTCTTGGCAGTAAACCAGAGCCGGTTTGGTAATTCTGTCCAGAAAGCAGTAGTGTGAGCTTTTAGTTTTACATATCCAGTATTTTTGATTAGTGGTTAGCCAGTTTAAAGTCACAGTTTTGGGGGATTTCTCAGTCACTGTGTAGTACCTGAATTAGCTAACATGAAAAAATGATACCACTGGGTAAAACTTTGAGTTTACCAAGCTGCTTTGGAAATTGCAATATTTCCATTAGTCACATCCAGCCACCCAGATCCATAGTGTACACAATTGATCCCCTGCTGGAAGGGGCACCAGTCCATTGGAGGACCCTGGCAGTAAGGGGCAAAGTAGAGTGGCCAGCATATGATTAGGAGGCAGGAGACAATTGGAGCAGCTGTCAGAAAGCTTTGTGAACGTAGGAAATGCATGCAGATTCATGCAATTCACACGAATTCCTTAAGCCAAGGACCCAGGATCTAAGAGATTGCAGGGCGAACTGTAACAACATTGGCTATTTTGCTTTTTAAGAGCTATTTGTGCAAGAACCTACAGCTTGCAGTGGATCAAATTGCTGTGAAGTAACCAGTGGTTTCACTGCTGTAATATCTGGATTATTGATTGTTTCTGAAACACATTTGTTGATGTTTGGGAAAACCTAAGCCAGGATGAAATGGAACTTTTATGACAACTTTTTTGTTAGATTACCAGATAACCTGAATAGGTTAGTCTTGACTAAGTGAGAATTGGAGATAGTAAGACGAGACCTAACTTGTCATCTCAAAAAATGTTGATGGAGAAATTCAGAGTTTTCAGTTTTTTAAGGAACCATATAAACGTTACAATATCCTTTCGCAAACATGTTTGTGCATCTGTGTTTCAGCACAGTTGTTCTGGAGATTCTTAATACAATATCTAATGGTCCTGAAGGGCCAGTATGTCTACAGGTATTCTAGAGCTCTTTAAAGCCTTGGTACCCAAAGCACCGCACGCAGTTGTTAAACTGGTCTAGTTTAGGTTAACAGCAAGCTGAGTTACTGTAGGTTCTTAAGAGGCAAGCTGAAATGAAAGCCTATGAACACTCTGACCTTCCAAGTCCTGAATTGAATGCCCTTGGTCTGGAGGATGTTTTTCTTATTTTTTTGGGTGTTTTGGAGTCCCGTGGGTATTTGGAATGTGGGTATTTGGAATGGACGTCATCAAGAGATCACTTTGAAACGTGTGGATTTCTAAGAGCAGGACACACTGCCATGTGACTCGGAGACCATCACCAGCACTGTCCAGAAGACTCCTTTCACGGTCCTCTGTGTGCAAACTGTCTGCCGCCAGAGACAAGCATTTATTTCTCCTGTCCACAAAGTCACTTTGTACAAGTCTTTGAGAAAGTGATCTTTTTTGTTGATTGCTTTTGGAACAGGGAGATGTGTTGATGTGTTTTTTTTTTTTATAAAACTACATGATGCATCTGTCTTGAGTTTTAACAGATGGTTTGAATGACAATACTGTAGCTTCAACACTGCTTGGAAGTAGTTATTTTTATTTTGGCAGGGGCACAAACTCTCCGATTGATGATTGATTCAGGTATCCTAGCTTTGTGCAACAGTTTCCAGTTTCCTCCCAGTTTTTTGCTGCCCTGAGCTCCTGGTGTTGAGGTGTACATGTGAAAGTCATTAAGTCATCAGTCCTATACACCGCTGTCCGGAGACAGTGCTCCATTCTCTTCCATTCAAGCCAGTTGACAACAAGTCTTGGACAGAGCCTCAGCAATAATGTATTATTCAGTCAGCTCATGAAAATGGTAGTTGAGGCTTTTTTCCATCTCAGTGCAAAAAAAATCTAGGTTATGATTTTGTTTCTAACAACATTTGCATTTTATAGCTATATTGGCAGAGAAAATTGAAATAGAGATTATTGAAATACTTCTGATATATTTTTAGAGGTATTGTGAAGGAAATTGTTGGGGGGGGAAAAATATCCTCTTGAAATGTCTTTCAAGCCCAGATTATTACTATTTAATATACAATAAATGAATTTAAATGGTTAAAAGAGTTGATAAGAAGGTTTTGAAACGTGTTCTAATTCTTACCCTGAGCTGTTGAACAGTCCTGTTTTTTTTCTGCAGTGGCATCCTCTCAGTGTTTTTAACACCTGAACTTTGTCTCAGTAGGTTTACAGTAATGGGTCCAGGGCATGTTTCCCTCCCGTCACCTTTGACCCCCATAACAGAAGAGGGGGTGAAAACCAACAAAAAAACAACACATAGCGTCCATTGTTTCTCCCTGAGCTGCCAACACTGCAGTGACGATCCATTGCGCTTTAAGAGAAAAAACAAACTTATGGATTTGTTTGAGAATTTCCAGAAAATTTCCAGAATGTGGAATTGATGGACTTAAGAGTGCCTCAGTCTACCAAACATTAGCATCACAACAGATCCTGGGAAACTCTTACGGCATCTGTAAAAAGTTGTCAGGATGGTCATGTTGGAGAGAAATTAAAGGATTGTTACTTAAACAGCTACAAGAGTGAGTGAGGGAGCCTGATGCTCTATACCCTGAAAAGCTGCCTGAACACTGGCACTTCAGTTCCCAGGTGAATGATTGGCTGAACACTGCAGGTGTAAGAGCAGACCTGGCTCCAGCAATGGCCACTGTTCTTGAAATCTTTTAAGAGCCAGAGCAAACCATCAGGTGTTCAGCTATGCCAACTATATATACTGTAGGTCAGAACCTCAGCAGCAAGGCAAGGAATATTTCAGTTTCAGTACTTTTCTTGAGAACTAATGTAGGTTCACACTTAGAAGAAGGCCAGTACCAATTCTGTTTGGTTGACACACCGTAGTGTAGCACTTTGTCTTTATCACGTTTCTCCGTTTCACACCCCAGTTACCTCTGTAGACCTCTGCAATGCCAGATCAAACAAAGTCTTTTTGACAATAACCCCTTTAGAAATTTGGTGATTGAGTGTCAGTTCAACGAGGTAGTGTCGCCATATGTCACAAAATTGGACACAGTTTGGACGAATTTTCTGAAATCTCAGTGGTCAATTTTATAATAGTAGAAGAATGGTAATCTGGAGTATCGGTTTAGGTGAGAATTCTCCAACCTTTCAGTTCAGAAAAATTGTAGATGTTATAAAGTTAAAAATTAGTATTTGCAGTATGTTTATCCACTCCACATAATGGGTTCTTGTCATAGACTTACCAGTACATCACTGCACATGAAAACATTTTGTGACTTTTCCCAACATGATTACTACAATAGTTCAATGTTGTTGAAAATTGATGACTAATGGTCTGTAATGCATAATGGAGAGTTGTGTCCGGAACCAAGTTTAGATAACCCTGATAATATGGTGCATTCACACTACAGCTGATTGTGGAAAGTTAAACATAACCGCCATGTGACTTCTGTACACTTTTGAAATATGTGGGCTAAGAAACGTGTTCAGTTGCATATGTTGTGTCTACAGGCTTTAAAAACATTAGAAAATGCATTTTTTGTTGCTTATGAGTAACATTACACAATTTGAAGTGGCTACAAATGCTGTGGAAATTGTTTTCGAGAATTCTGTAATAGATGAGGTGCCTACTGTAGAGCTGTATAATTGCTAAATTAACATTTTGAAACAAAAGTCAAATGTTTGGGTCAAAAGGGTTAAGCTTTCATTCATTACTATAATTGCTTTCTTTCCACTAATTGGAATAGAATATCAAAAATGTTCTGCCTTCAAAATGTTTTTTTTTTTTACAATGTAATTGTTTATATCTCAGGAACAGAGATCTCTGGTGAAGTGTTGGATCAGTGTTATGACTCAGTTGTGTAATCCTAAACTTGATACCCCCCTATGTCAGGCCCTAGTACCCTTCGGACTCCAGCGATGACCCTTTGAACCTGCAACCAAGAGTATACTGTATGTTAAAATATGTTGATCACACTGACTACAAATTCTAGCAGGGTGTGAATGCCGAAGACTGTAGCATACTTATTTCAGATCAGTCACCACACAGATTTTAGTTTTCCATCAAATCACATTTACCAACATTTTGTAGATTTGTATGTATAAGTCAGCTGATTGAGCTGTATAGTGACTTTTCCTTTCGAACATTCTGTCCCAGCTGGCAAAATATGCACACTTTAAGCTTGACTAGGATTAAGTTAAAGTAACTGGCCTTATCTCAGAATTGTGATTAAATGCTGTTTAGATGGCTCTGGACCTTTTATCCCAGTGACCACTGGGTGCACTACATCTGCAGCTGTAATAATGTTGTCAGTGATGGCTTTCTGTCAGATGTCCCAATGATTGTCCCAGTTTGTACAGTACGAGGGAGTAACAAAAGTGTAATAATGAGGCCAAAATTCTTTTGTATAAAAGGACAAACTGCTTTTCTTTCCTGTTTATTTCCCCTGTTGAAATTTGTATTTATATATTTAAAAAAAAAGTATTATTTGCTACCACCATGTTGTGTCTTGTGCTTTTGTCTGGAATTGGTTTATAACTAACACAAAAACATTTGGAGCAGCCTGTTCTAGAGTACATACTCATCTGTTCTTTACCTCTACATTGTAAGATCTAAAAAATAATGGTAGTATGCCAATGTTATGTAATGAAAATGCAACAGTGAGATTAAGATTCATCAAGATTGATAATAGTACTTTTTAAACACAACTATTTGTCCCCAGCTGTCTGGTGGGGTAGTACAGGCGTAAAGCCATGAGGTAAACTGGTATTTTATCCTGTGTAATTGATTTATTAGGAAACAATGGCCTAATAAATAGTGTTTTCAATCCATCTACTCACTCACCAGCCTTCCTGACATTTTTAAACCTTATTTCAGAACAAAGAGTGAGGGACAACAGAGGGCACACATGGAAGCTAAGCACAGCTGCAACCAAGAACAAGAGGCACTTCTTTACACTAAGGGGCAACAACAGCAGTACTCCCAGTATATAACAAGCAACACTGATGGGAAAGCCTTTCACTCGGTTATCGTCAGTAGATGTATAGAATTTCTTCTCAATCATTAAGTTAACATGAGAAGGAGAAATGGAGTCAGTGCGTGAAAGTCATCAATTTGCAGTATTCACTGAATTGTCACTTTTATACAGAGCTTGGAGCTTGTCTTAAACTTTAACACCAGTTCTCTACCTTCACAGTAATAAAATCCTTTCAACGATTTCTCATCTCTTCTTAAGCAAGCTTGTTCAGCTATTTCCCCCATAAGTATGTGTAGTGGCGGATCCAGTTTGGCCAGGGCCAGCATTCTCATGGAAAGGAGTCATGCCCCTGACTGCAGCAGCTGGTTTAAAAGTTCTCTCTACCATCCACAATTACTTATCTGCCGACATTAAAGCCAGAAAGTAGTCAAGACCCAGCCCACACTGATAGTCTGATTGCTCTCATCGCCAAGTGAACAATGCACTTCTACACTAATAAGCAATGCCTAAGTCTTCAACACTAATGCCTCAGGTAGCCCTGGTCAACTGGCCCACTCTGATTCTCTGCAGCCCACTACCGCCTTATTGAGGCTGACAAACTACTCAATAATCACCTTTGAATCTTTTTTTCTTCACAATCCTACACTTACAGTCCTAGAACTCAGTATTGAACACGTCTTCACAGAATCTCCTCTACCTTTTTTCATGCTGTAGCCTAGATGCAGACTAATCCCACACGGAGCCTTTGAAACCAGCTCCTCTCCTTCACATGCAAAGCCATGTGCTAAATTACTCATTAAGAGCAGCTGTGACTCATTCAACAGGTTCTTCCAATGAGTAGTTATCCATCCTGTGACAATATGGAAGAAGCTACCCAGCCATGTTTTTGAAGCCAATACCCTGGTTTGTTTCAAGAAACCACTAGATGAAATCTATTTATTAAAGGGCAGAAGGGTTACCTCTCTGTAATCTTTCTTCTTCAGGGCCACCTGTTGCTACAGTTTGTGAGCAGGGCTATTGTAAAGGGACCTTTGACAACAAAATGCCTGACCTTTAAATTACATCAAACAATTTTTTAAAATCTGCTTAATACAGCTGAGCAGGTACCCTGAATTGCAACAGTACAATGTTTTTCTTCACTAATAGTAAAATTGTACTAAGTCAATTTAATGTGTAATTTATGTAAATTATATTTATATTATTTTCATTCTTTTCTGTTTTTAATATTTAGGTCTTTCTGTGAAGCTGTGCACTGTAGACCTATTACTCAACTTTTCTCCATAGTTTCTCAACACTGTTCTGAAGTCTTTCCAAAAGTCTTCAAGCCAAGTTAAAAGCTCTATATCAGAACATGACGTTGATATTTAGGGGGTTGTGTATGATTTTGGAACATGCACAGTGCCAAGAAAATGTGAATCCCTGATATAATTATGGAAATCGCCATTTCTTATCCTTCTTTAAGCAACAGTGGTCTTTTCTTAAATAGCCAAAAGGGTTTATATCGACCAATTCAGTATTTTCTGTGTGATGTAATGATGTATGATGTAGAAAAAAAATGAATAAGTTCAGTGTAGCTGAAGTTGTAGTCTATGTTGCACAATTGAGGGGATAACTAGAATCTGGTGGTAGAGTAACTGGGTACTAAGTAAACAAGGACTGCGTTTGGGCTAATTATGTTTTAGGTCTAAAATATTCAAAGTAAGATAACATACATAAAATATACAACCTAGAGGGTTCATAAACTTTTTTCAGGAACTACATGGCAGCACTCTGGTCCCTGTCAGCTAGGGAATTTAATGATTTTGAATGCAACATTTAGAATATTCCCAAGAGTATTGCTTCACGTCACAGGAAATGATTGGCCAGCAACCCATATCTCTTCATCCTTTCCAGATCATGAATGCTGTTTGTGTGTGTTTTAAATCAAATAATTTTCCTTCTTTTGGTATTTTACTTTTGATTCTCTGGCTTGAAGGAATCAATCAAATTTCAGTCATCTTTGTAGAATGAAATAACTCCTTACACAGTTGGAGTTAACACAGCTTTAACTACAAAGGAGTCAAAAGACATTGCGTTTGACACTGTCTCCAATGTCAAACTCAACCCACTCTGCTGAGCCAATTGTAGTACCCCACTTGTGGAAGACATAGCCTAACATTCAAGCCACTGGCTTTTGCATTGTATGTCCATACCCATGGTCTGAATAGAGACTTTGAGTGCTTGAGCTACTTGGGTACTGTAATATACTTAATTTAATGAAGCTCCTGTAAACATGCGCAGGTTGGGTTTCCCTCAGCCAGGAGAGTTACATCCATCAATTTTCTAATCACTTTATCCAATACAGGGTCATAAGGGAGTCAGAGCCTATCCTGGCAAGCAACGGGCGTAAGGCAGGATAGAGCCTGGACAGGACGCCAACTACAGGACACACACAGATACAAACCCACACAGACTAATACCAGGGTCAGTTTTCCCTGTAGCCAGTACATTGCCAGTATGTCTTTGGACTGTGGGAGGAAATCAGAGCAAACCCATGTGAACAGAGGGAGAACATGCATACTCCACACAGACAGCACGCCAGGAACCAGGCCCAGGGCCACAGTGCGGCAAGGCAGCAATGTTACTTTTGCACCACCATGCCACACCAGGTGAGTTACAGTCCATTTTAAACGTGTTACACTAGTAAATGTCTGTCTCATAACATTAATTAGAATTCACCAGACTACTGAAATGGTTGGAATTGAATCCTAGAAGGGGATGAGTGTGGGAAAACAATATAGTCCACCAAAACAATGTCTGTTCCTCATTTATTGAGTGAGTGCCCCACAGGTGGATTTGCTGTGGTTAAAATTTTGCTGAAAGAGAAACAGAAAGAGAAGCCTATCAAAGCACCTATAGATGCTGTTTTCAAACTTTAGAAAATTACCATCAGTAGGTTTGTATCAGTTCCAGATGAACCTGGGGAAACTACAACATCTGCAACTATTCTACTGCAATTATAGAGACTGTTTTGCCTATCTCAAAAAAATAGTGCTGAACTTTAAAAAGCTTTCTGGGAATACCCCCATATCAGGAAACCAAACCTTTTCTAATAAACCCTCTCGCACTTGGTTTCTCAGAAAGAGGAAGTCAAAACCAAGCTGATGTTCTTTTTCAAGTGTCTTTTAAAAAGTACACAATTAGGGCCACGATCTGTACTATTCACAAGTGTAACACTAAAAAAAGAACATGACCCATAACTGAAGTGAAATCTCTTTATTTTTAGGGAATATTTTGACCCTCCAGAAACTAAAAAAAGGCTGCCCAGCTTTTATCTGGGTCATAGCATAGTTATTACAATCTATTCATAGTGATGTAACATTTGACTAAAATAAGCAACTATCACTCACAGGAGGTTATAACCACCTTTTGAAATCTAAGTCCCTTTACTTCACTTGCTCAGATTTCCCTTGTCGAAAGTCAAGTCTCACTTGACTTTGAAGGGCTTCCTCAGTCACAGCAGTTATGTCACCCACCTCCATCTTGCCCTGTATCTCCAGGCAGCACTGAGCTTCACTGCACTTTGACAGCACCACTGGAGAGGAAAACAAAGTGAAAGTACACACTGTTCTGTTTTGATTAGGCCATATGGTGGAGCAAGCAAGGGAAAGATATATTGGAAGTGTGATTGGAACTGTGCATTCATTGGTACTTATCATTAAGAGTGTATCACAGAGACAGAATGTGAAGAACATCAGGAAACCTTGTGATGACAATATGTCGATCAGCCCATAGGCACTTTTTCCCTTTTACTACACAATGTGATAAACCCCTCAGCTCCAAAATTTAGTTTAACAAGATCGCAGCTTAACCACCTCACAATGACACAGTCTAGATCCTACACCTTGTCCCAGAGGCCCACACACCTGGTTTGTGTTCCAGTCCGGCACTCTGTCACCCAATTGAAACCTTAACAGACTTACTTATAGGACTAATTCAAACTGTGTGACTGTTTTCAGCTCTTAAACCTGCAGGAGGTTGGCCTTTTATTGTGCATTTCATGAGTAAAATAAAATGGGACTTTTGAGTAGGAAAAAAAAAGTTGCAAATATTTCACTCAAGCAAGCTTTTAGTTCAATTGATGTTTCAAATATGTGACTAAGTTCATCTGGAAGGAAAACCTGTGGTCCTCCAGGATCAGGACTGGTAACGCCTGACCTAACAATCCATCCATTTTCGAATGGCTTCGTCACATACAGTACGAGGTCGTGAGGAAGCTGGAGTCCATCCCAGCAAGCACTGGGCACAAGGCATGGTGCACCCTGGGCACGTCAGTCTATCACACACACACACAAGCACACACTCACTCCAGGACCAGCTTTTCCTAGAAGCCAATTAATCAATCAGCAAGTCTTTGGACTGTGGGAGGACACCAGAGTGCCCAGAGGAAACCAACGGCCACTGAGAGAGAACATATAAACTCCACACAGACAGTACCCCAGGTCTGGAATTGAACCTTGGGCCACAGCAGTGTGAGGTAGCAATACTAACCACTGTGCCTACGTGCTGCCCCCATTTCCTAACCACTCTATCTCATACCCGATCTGCCCAATATGTTCAAAACTCAGTCAAAAAAGGCTTTTCTAGTATTAGCATGAAACTGATTTTTGCAGTTTTGCCTTTATCTTGTGCTTGCAGAGCATAATTTGAAACAACTGATATGGGTGACCTTGTTGTCTTATGAAACTATAGAATGTGCCAGTGAAATCTCCTGATAAAACACTGATCTCTTTCAGTCTGTCCTCGTAATTCACATGACTCTTTGCTTCTTGTCTTGGGACTTTTTTTCTGCAGCATAAATATCATTTCATTTTT